TCTAACGTTTGGATATTGAGCAAGTAAGACCCCAAGACCATGTTAAAGTTCCATATGAGGGCCAAGTTAGCCAACTGAGAAGGAATATAAAGATGAATTCTAAAAAGTGGTTGATGAAATTTTGTGAGTCAACCAGACAACGTGATGAGTTGAAGCAAATTGCCAATACATTGGGTATGTAGGAAGGCTTCGTTGTGATTTTATCAAAATTAGAGAAATTGTTATAGCATGGAGCAAGACTTTTAAAAGTGTGGTTTAGAGAAAAAGTGGGGGAGAAAGAGACCCACAAAACCAAAGAAACAAGCTGAAGTTATTGTCATCAACCTATTAATGATGTACTAAAGGATATGAGAAATATTTCGGAAGTACCTAAGGAAAGACCATTATATGAGGTGAAGTTATAAGAAAACTTGGAGAGGAGTAGACCCAAGAGTTTGAGGACATGTATATTTTAAAGGACAATTATATGTTATCTCGAATGAACGAACAAGTGGATGAGGAGCTTTTGTATATTGTGAAAGAGTCGAGATGAGAAAGATTGATTGGTGTGTCTAAACATAAATTTGGTTATGTGTGTCAAGGGGGTGCCTAGTTGTTGGTCAACACTTATGCATTTGGAAGGTATGGAAGTGTAAGAGCTCACCCTAATGTGAGCTAGTTTGGATAGCTAAAGCAACTGAAAACATATTCATTATCGAAAAAGGGAAGAACTCCGCTAATGAAAGTGAGAGAACTTCAGTAAAGATGGTGAAGGTGGATTTATTAAGAACTGTAAAAATGAATTTACCAAAAGATTATGAGGAGATGCCGCTCACATTGGAGTTTTGCCTATAGTAGAGAAGATTTTCAGTGGCATTAGAAAAAGTATCTCGAAGGAAAAATGTATTGAGACTTGAGAGCCCAAAAGGAATTGGAACCTCAAAATATCAAATAAAACGTAAAGAAGTCTTTACCCATATTGGACAATGTGGAAGTACAAGATGATTTTTTAGTCATGTTGGAATTTGATGTCAACAAGGAAGTGAGGAGAAGGATACACCAAAGTGGATTTAACAAACAGATGGGGGGAGCGCCGAGATTTAGAGCCAAATTTGGTTCAAGAGATAGTGGAATAAGTAGAACTGCTTTTGTTATGCCAAAAAGGGGTACATTGTAAACCCCAAAAAGACCATGATGATGAAAATATGAATGACTTTGAGCTTGATGTCGGAGGAGTGGTATACCTTGAAACAACAAGGTCTTGGAACTAAAAAGGTTTGGGAAAACTACAAGACAATATATCTTGAAAGGGATTTATCAATTTAGCTAGAGCCGGAAGAATCTTATGTCAACATGAGAGTAAGATCAGAGGAGAAGACATATGGGGTGTGTAAATGCATTAGAACAGATATCATGCATGTAAGGACACAAAGATCGGAATAAATTAAGGAAGAACCGTTAAGAATGAGAGCAGAGGTACATGTCACAGATTCGAGAATGAAACCCATTAAAGTGGAGAAGATTTGTCACGGCCCAATCCCGTTTTCCCCAAAACCTAATTTCTCGTAACCTAAGGCCCAAGCCTAAAACCCTAACCTAAACCCTAAGCTTCCTCCTATATATTCTTCACGTGAAAGAGGGTGAAAAGAAATTCATAGCGAAGCTTTGCCAAAATCTCTCCAGCCTTAGAAACCAAAACAGTTCTGAGCCGTCAACTTGCGGGGCGATTTTCCGTCGATCTAGAAGGAATCTCGGTCTTGGTCTCTTTAGAAAGGTCTATCTCTCATATTTCTATATAGTCCGGAATCGTGTAATTCAGAGGTATATCGTGAGAGTTATGATTATTTTTTTTTGTTTAAGGTTTCAGATCTGTAAATTCAGAATTCTAAACCGAAGAGTTTCTTTGTTCTGTTTTTCGGGCTGGATTGCGGACGATCCAGAAGGACCAGGGAGCCATTCTTGGTGTATTTGGAAAGAGGAGACTCTCAGCTTTCCCTAACAGTCGAGATCTCGCCGATCGGACATGACCAGTAAGTTACCGGCGGTTCTTGCTGGATCAATATTTCTGTGTTTCTGGAAATTTCAGAAAAAACTCTAATTTGTTTTGAAAACGCAAACACAGTTTTGGGTATGCGAATTGCCAAACGCCAGTTGTTCAGAACCAAAACGCAGATCACCAGAAATAGCGTTTCAACAGCAACCTCTTTAACCGCTATTTTTCCAACCGCTTCAACCGCTATTTTAAGCGACTCCGAAACGCAATTGCTATTTTTTCGGGATTAATTTTCAAAGTGGCTAAGGTGAGGATACGTGACTTGTGGACTCGCATTACATAGTAATTCTCTGCCATATCCGCTATATGCGAGGTTAAGAGATGGATTGTTTGAGGTACGCATGCATTGTGAATGTGAAAGTAGAATGATGATATATTAGCATGTTGAATAGTGTAAGATTGTTTGTGCGCATTCGGTCTGAGGGCGAGGACATGGCGATCCCGTCGAAGCCGTTTGTTTTGGTGAAGTCGGACTGAGGACGAGGACATGGCGATCCCGTCGAAGCCCGTTAACGGCTGACGAGCCAGAAGGTGGTGGAAGACCTTTCGAGGTGCCCGACCAGCCTAGTTGTCATGTGCAAGTGTTATGTAATGTGATATGTGATGTGATGAGTAAAGTGAAATGTGAAGTATGGATAAGGTGTACATGTGATTAGTTGGTAGGTTGATTGTTGCTAGACATGCTAGGTTGAGTAATATTTGTGCTTTATCTTAATTTCGTATATGCGTATATTGTTTTGAATTATTATTGTAATGTGTTTCATGTGGTCACTGAGTAAGACATTATTCACCCCCTCTTTTTCTCCCTTTTTAGTGTGCAGGTGTGTTACTTATGTTTTAAGTTAGAGCGCGAGATCTAGGACACAAGTTGATGGAGGAATGGGTGTTACACTCTATGCGTCTATAGAACTTCAGATGGTTGTGCAAGTTGTAGAATATATGTGATTTCTTAGATGTTTGTGCTGTTATGATATTGTTACTGAAATATGATATTTTTTTACCTTATGCTAAGTTTATCTGAATTTCTGACTCTAAGCTTTGATAGGCTCTTGTGTTTTCTTTGACACCGTCACATATACTACGACAAAACCTGATGTGGATATATGCTATAGAAAATCTGTTTACTGCAAGTACTTCATGGCAAAATGCAAGACTTCTAATGTGTTTATGTTTGCATTGATATTGTTGTTTTTGTATAGATAGATAGACCTTAACACACAGAAATGAACAGCATACAACCCATTCTCCAAATTATTAGTACTTTATATGTTTGTGTTTAGTTTGATCTTATATCCATTCCCAGGGAAGAGTAGAGATATGATATCCATTTCGCTTACAAGCTTTACACGAAAAGACTTCACCCTGTAAATATTGTGAGGTGTGTTTTCCACACTAACTACTTTTTCTTTAATGAATTTTAACCAATTGTAATTCAAAATTTCTAATACTTGGAGTTAATATTTCTTGAAGCTTGTAATATACTATCAATTCATTAGTAAAAACAAATTTAAAAATTTAAAACATTTTATAATGTGGAACAAAAAATATATATATAAAATCCTATATTCTGGATGTAGGGAGAGTATATACTATCAATTTTGAATTTAAGGAAAAAAACATACAGAGTTAAAGCTGATTTAGATGTTGTTGGTAATTTTATCACTCTTATGTTAATGTTTATGTTAATTTCGACAAGTATTTTTTTTTCCGTAGAAGAAAGGCTATTTCGACAGGTAATTAATACATCAAAAAGAATAAATAAATATTTCATTCTTATGTTGGCCGACGTTCTTCTTTGTAATTTATATTTTGGCTTATCTTCTTTGCGTGTAAGCTGAGGATTTTACTTACTCCCTTTTACCATTTCCTGACCACACATATCGATCTCACAAGTCACACCAGTTTACTTTTTTTTCTTACCTTTTCTTTAACTTTCCATTTTCTAACATTTATACTCTTCTTCTTTTATTTTAGAGAAATTTTAAGAGAACACAGAATATATTTTTTTTCCAAAAATGGTGTTAATTTTCACAATTACACTTTTTCCAAAATTTATTATCTAAATTTGGATTCACTAATCCCTAATTATGATTTAGATTTTAGGATTTAAAGTATAGATTTAAGGTTTAGAGTTAGAGGTTGAAGTTCTTTTACTCAATGAAAAAGTATAATTTGAAAATAAACACCATAAAAATATAGTTTTGAAAATGTACAAAAAAAATTTAGTTTTGAAATTTTTCCATTTTAGACTATTATTGGAACTGAATCTTACATTCATATATACTATTTTTACTTTTTCATATTTTCAAGTTTTCATGTTTCTGAAAATATGATTCCACTATTTTTACTATTCACATCATTCATCAATTTTTTCATGTTTTTATCATGTTTTTATGTTTTGAAAAGTGATTTCGTAACATACAACTAGTGTGTTAAAATTTTACTTAGAGAAAACAAAATGTGTTTAATCTATTAAAATCAGTGTTTCAATGTTTAATAATTTTCTGATTAAAAATATTCAATTCAGTTTATCTTGCTAATGATTTTTTCTGTATTCCGTTGTTCTGCTATTCAGCTGAGAACCATTTATACTCATTGTATTTTCCAAATTGCTGGATCCCACCATTCAAATATACTTACTATTTATATATTCAAAAATTACGCAGATTCACATTAGCTATCATAAGAATTCAATATTATTGTTTTTAGCCCTTGATTAAAAAAAGAAAATCATGATTGTAAGAAAAAGTAACACTTGTAGGCAAAAGAAAAAAAAGTAGACAAGACAACAGGCTGAATTATCCATTTAACCCCTACTCAAATCAAAATCATCAATGTCACACGAGATGTAGCAAGGGCAGCTTGGTCATCTAGATAAACGTGGCCTCCCCGCGTATGTATAAATGTAAGCCTATAAAGATTCCAATTACCTTTTCCCACTGAATCTGAAAGAAGAAGCTCGCAAGAGATGGAAAGGTTGGTGCTTGTGACATTTTCTCTGCTAATCTTTGCTTCTGTGGCGGCAGCTGATTACGTGCGACCAAAACCTCGTCAAGCCTTGCAGTTTCCATGGAAACAAAAGTCTTCTTATTCTCAACCCGAGCAGGTAAATTAGGTTCCATTGGGTTTCTCTGTTTCTATCTTCTTCTTCTTCTCTTGGCTCTCAGATTCTTCTGATTTGATTCGTTTCTGTAAAACCGATGTTTCTTTTGGTCTGATCTCCGTCTATTCTCTTACTGCATGTGGGTTTCTATTTGTTTTCTCCGCCAAAAATCGATTTTTGGATCAAAGAGATAAATCCCATTTGCTCGTGTCCTGCTTAGTCACGAAATCCTTTCAAATGGATAAGTAAACTTTCCAACTTCAAAACTTGTAATTTTGATGAAAATGCCCTTCTATTTTTTTTTCTCTCTAATTGATTTCGTTTAACAGTGGAGATGAATTTTTGTATCTGATGTTTCAGTCTGAAGAAAAAGAAAATTGATGGTTGATAGAAATTATAGAGATAACTCATAAATGAACATCATAGGCTCTGTTCTGTAGATCAATTTTGGGTAAGTTTTTTTTTTTTTTTTACTGAGATGAGATTGATACTTGCAGGTGCATATATCATTGGCTGGAGACAAACATATGCGAGTGAGTTGGGTTACAAACGACAAGTCCTCTCCTTCGTTTGTTGAATACGGAACATCTCCAGGGAAATACTCATTTCTTGGTCAAGGAGAGAGCACATCTTACAGCTATATATTCTACAGATCAGGGAAGATACATCATACAGTAATCGGGCCGTTGGAAGCGGATACAGTTTATTACTACCGTTGCGGTGGAGGAGGACCTGAGTTCCATCTGAAGACACCACCAGCTGCGTTCCCGGTTACTTTCGCGGTGGCTGGTGATCTTGGGCAGACCGGTTGGACCAAGTCGACGCTAGATCATATCGATCGATGCAAGTACGCGGTGCATCTACTCCCCGGGGATCTTTCTTATGCGGACTATATGCAGCACAAGTGGGACTCTTTTGGGGAGCTTGTTCAGCCTCTGGCTAGTGTAAGGCCATGGATGGTGACTCAAGGAAACCATGAGAAAGAGAGTATTCCTTTTGTTGTGGATGAGTTTGTGTCTTACAACTCGAGGTGGAAGATGCCGTATGAGGAGAGTGGATCAAAGTCTAATCTTTATTACTCTTTTGAGGTTTCTGGTGTCCATGTGATCATGCTCGGCTCGTACACGGATTACGATCGGTCCTCAGATCAATACAATTGGTTAAAGGTGAGACAACTGTTTCCTCTCAGCTCAATACTATCAACAGTTTCTGTTACTTTTCTTGCTCTAAAAATCTTACGATATGTGTAGGCTGATCTGTCAAAGGTGGACCGAGAAAAGACTCCGTGGCTAATAGTGCTCTTCCATGTACCGTGGTATAATAGTAACGACGCTCATCAACGTGAAGGTGATGGGATGATGGCTGAAATGGAGCCTTTGCTTTATGCGAGCGGTGTAGATATTGTATTTACTGGACATGTTCATGCTTATGAACGCACGGTATGTTCAAGATTATGTTAGCTTCTCTAATGTCATCTCTTGTTCACATCCTATGATATTAATTGGTTTTATTGTGCTGATTTGACAGAAACGTGTCAACAACGGTAAATCAGATCCTTGTGGTCCTATTCACATAACTATAGGCGATGGAGGAAACAGAGAAGGGCTAGCTCGCAAGTAATTCCTCAAACTGTTTATTATATTTCCCTTTTCTGTGTTATGAGTAAATTATGAACAAGAATCCTCTCATGTGTCCATGCCAAGCCTCTTTCATCTTATTCTCTGTGATTCTTGAGTTAATTCAACATATTTCTTTTGCATATGGAACTCATTACACTTTGTGTGCCCTTGTTACTTATCTAAAAAGGATTCACTTTCAGGTACAAAGATCCGTCACCAGAGTGGTCAGTTTTCAGGGAAGCAAGCTTTGGACATGGCGAACTTAACATGGTGAATTCAACACATGCTCACTGGACCTGGCATAGGAACGATGACGACGAGCCAACGAGGTCTGATGAGGTTTGGTTAACCTCTCTTGTGAGCTCGGGATGTTGGACTCAGAAGAAATGGCATAAAGAACTCAGGACAATGCTCATGGGACCTTGATTTGTTGGTAAGCCATAAGTGAGAGTTGGAGTAAACTAGTCCATAGTATATGTATAGAAAGCTACAAGGTGATTATGTTAGCAGATGAGTTTATTAAGGAGAAGATTTTCACCAGCTTCTTAGATATTATCCAGATTTTGTAAACTTGTACTCTGTGCTGTGTAACTTGTGTTGTATTTTTCCCATAATTAAATATATTACTTTTAAGATTAAACCCTTAAACTGATTATATCGAAAATTCCTGTCCAAAATTCCTCGACATTGTCAACAAGAAAGAAAAATTCCTCCCCAAAATCTACATGGCTTCAACGACTCTATGATTGTCAAAGTTGTTTTTTGAAAATTATTTCCCTTTGATATAATTTGGTGCAGGCGTGCAGCGACTGTCCTTTACATAAATGCTACTCTAATCATTCTCTAATGGAGAAAAAAAACATTCTTCATTACATTAACTAATGATATAAATTAGATTAGGCCGTAAAATGATGAGCCGTGCCTGAAAGTGGGCTTAGTTGTTGTGCTGAAGACCGTTGACGAAAAAAGGCGTACCTTTTCCACGCGCTCTCACCTTGATAAATTCTTTGTTTCATTTCATCGTCTCATCTTTCAGATCAGTTCGGTGCGATCGCCTCTCTTTTATAAAATTTCTACATCCCAAAAGTAAAAGAAGGAAACTGATAACCCGGCTCGAGAGAAAAATGCATGATTTCTGCTTCACTATCCCGTACGGGATGCTTTTAATCGGCGGTGGATTTATCGGGTACATGAAGAAAGGAAGTATTACATCTTTCGCCGGAGGTGCGGGAACTGGCTTGTTACTCATTCTCGCTGGATTTCTCAGTCTCAAGGCTTTCGAGAAGAAGAAGAATTCCCCCGTCGCTGTCGTTCTCCAGACAGGTTTTTGAAATTTATTTCTTCTTCCTTTTTTTGTTTTCGTATTTCTCAGAGATGTCGATTTCGAATTTTTGCGTATAATTTCGTTAGGTTTTAGTTGTAAGAATTGAATGGCTTTTACTGACTAGTCAACTGAGAAAGGAATGGTTTACTGTTCGGATCAACAACTTAAGATTGCGTTATAGACTCTAGCTTGAGAGTTGATTGATTAGTTATGTTATAAAGGTTCCGGATCTTGATTGGATATGGATCTGAAAAAAAATAGCAATCCGGCTACATGATGATCTGATTTGTGTGATGAAATTGAAAACCAGCATTTTGTTGTGTTTGGATCTTCAAATTGGTTTGCTAGTTTTTTCCACCAAATTACTAATAGTGTCTCTCTTGAACAAGTTGCTGTAATTACTTCAAATGTGCAAAGTTTCTCATGTCAGACAACGAGCTTAATAAATAAAGGGTGCTGTCGTATTTGAGCTGTAAGATGTTGTCGTTGAGTAGATTCCTGCTTTTTAATTAGTGTTCTTGCCATTGACTGAATCAGCATCAACCTCAAAAAACATAAAAACAAGCTTACAGAATCTATTTTTCATTCTCCTAGTTTGAGAATCTCGGTGACTGAATTTTTTTGTTCTGATGCAGTAATCTCAGCTGCTCTCACATTAGTCATGGGACAACGTTACTTGCTCACGCAAAAGATTATGCCAGCTGGTTTGGTTGCAGTGATCAGGTAAACATGATTCTCTTTCTCTCCTTTTTTCTGGTGACTACCTTTGTTCGCATCCAAGATTTGGTACTTTGTGTCTCTACTCCATTGACTAAACCTTTGAACCATATCTGTTATTGCAGTGCTCTCATGACCTGTTTTTACGTATACAAGATTGCAACTGGTGGCAATAAAATCCCAGCAAAAGCTGAATGATGGTTTTGAAACTCGAACGAGATACTCTCTGTTGTTGAATTTGTCGTTTAGAAATCTCTATGGTGTATACACTGTTGCTGTCAATAGCTTGTACGAGTCGACGAACTGCATATGGTCTTGTACTCTTGTGTGTTTCTGAGATTAGTTTATTTTTGTCATGTTTTTGTTAACCACAACTCTTCTAATCTATATTTATATATTGAAAAATTTGATGTTTTGATACACACTCAGATCTGAGAAAAAGAGCACATCATAAAATAAACTGGGAAATGACCCATATGGAAGTTGATCGTCATAACTTATTTTCACCTTGTTTCATTACAACAATAAAGCTTCAGCTGTGATTAGATCATTCCTAAAAGTATATACTGAGTCACGAGTACAATGGTTTAAGAAAGATTCATGCATGAACATCGACAAAGGAGGCGGGGTATGCAAGAGAAACAAGATCCATTAATGGAGGTAACACATAGTTTTAGTAAATGAGCTTTTCTCATGCTATAAATGTTCCCAGATTAAAATCCAATGAGCTCTTGATCATTATAATTTCGCATGCTATGATTCTTTAACATGGTTGACAAGTTGGTATGTAGTTAGGTAAGTTCTTTTGGGTCCCATTTTCTGGAAAGCGACATTATGCTCACAAATTTAGAAACAAGTAAAGTGAATGCTACTGCAGAATCTGATTAACAAAGGATGGTGTCGGAATCTGCTTCCCAAGTCTGAATCTTGACGACGCTTCTACTGTCAAGTATTTTTACCCAAACAACAAAGAACGGTTTTCTGTTATTTTCACATGGGAGAAAGTCTCTTCTGATGTGGGATGTAAGTGGTTTTAAGTATCTTGTTTCTTTGAACACCTCTTCTTGCTAGATTACTCGGTGAAATGTTCATTTTTGTTTTTGCGAATAACAACTCTGCAAATGTTTCAATTCAATGCTTCCTGATAGTAACTCTGGTTTTTTTTATTCCAACAGTGATTCAGAGTATTTTATCAAGATCACAAGTTTTCGATGGTGACGACCCGATAATGACTATTGAAAAAGTAGCAAAACTAGGAGCTTCAGGCCTCTTGTTAAACATTCAGGTATAACGTATATAATTTTTGATCTTTCTTATACACTTGTAGGACAGTGCTTGTTACGCGCAAGACAATTTGTGTAATACCCATTCCCCGGTCAACTTGTGCCCTAGGTCTCGCGCCCTAACTTGAAACATAAGCAACACACCTGCACACTAAAAAGGGAGAAAATAAGGGGTGAGTAATGAATTACTCAGTGAGGAATGATCATCCCTGCCCACATGAAACACATTACAATAATAATTCACAACAATATACGCATATACTAAATTAAGATAAGGCACAAGCATCACTCAACCTAGTATGCCTAATAACAATCAACCTACTGTCTATTCACATAAACATCTTACCATACTCCACGTACACTTAACATACACAATACTCATCATATCACATATCATATCTCATCACACTTTCACATGACAACTAGGCTGGTCGGGCACCTCGAAAGGTCTTCCACCACCTTCTGGCTCGTCAGCCGTTAACGGGCTTCGACGGGATCGCCATGTCCTCGTCCTCAGTCCGACTTCACCAAAACAAACGGCTTCGACGGGATCGCCATGTCCTCGCCCTCAGACCGAATGCGTACAAACAATCTTACACTATTCCAACATGCTAATATACCATCATTCTACTTTCACATTCAATATGCATGCCTACCTCAAACAATCCATCTCTTAACCCAGCATATAACGGATATGGAAGAGAATTACTACGCAATGCGAGTCCACAAGTCACATATCCTCACCTTAGCCACTTTGAAAATTAACCCCGGAAAAATAGCGATTGCGCTTCGGAGTCGCAGCAAAATAGCGGTTGAAGCGGTTGGGAAAATAGCGGTTAAAGCGGTTGCGGTTGAAACGCGATTTCTGACTATCTGCGTTTGCGTTCTGAGAAATTGCGTTTGGCAGATTCGCGATCCAAAACTGCGTTTGCGTTTCCAAAACGGATTAGGGTTTTTCTGAAATTTTCCAGAAACACAGAAATTCTGATCCACAAAGAACCGCCGATAACTTACTGGTTACATGTCCGATCGGCGCGATCTCGACAGATCTGGAAAGATGAGAGTCTCCTCTTTCCAACGACACCAAGTTGGCTTCTGGGTCCTTCTGGATCGTCCGAAATCCAGCCCGCAAAACAGCACAAAGAAAACTGTTCGGATTAGAATTCTATTTTTTACAGATCTGAAACCTTCCAAAGAAACGATCATAACTCTCTCGATATACCTCTGAATTCACGATTCTGAATTATGAAAGCTGAGAGAGACCTTTCCAAAGAGACCAATATCACATCTGATTCCCTCTATATAGACGGCAAATGGTCCCGTAAGTTGACGGCTCGGAACTGCTTTGGTTGCTAAGGCTGGAGAGATTTTGGCAGAGCTTCGCTTTAGATTTCTCTTGACCTTTTCTCTGTGACGTGGTGTATAAATAGGAGGAGGCAGGGGGTTTAGGTTAGGGTTTTAGGACGTGGGCCTTACGTCACGGGCTTTTAATTAGGTTTTGGAAATGGGATTGGGCCGTGACAATTCTCCCCAACTTTAATGAGATTCGTCCTCGAATCTGTGGTATTAACGTCGCTATCATCTTCAGAGATCTCTGAATGGTTTGTCTTTAATTTTTATTCCGCTTTCTGAATGGTTTGTTTTTATGCATTTACACAACCCATATGTCTTCTCCTCCGACCTTACTCTCATGTTGACATAAGATTCTTCCGGCTCTCGCTAAATTGATAAATCTCTTTCAAGATACCTCGTCTTGTAGTTTTCCCAAATCCTTTTGGTCCCAAGACTTGTTTCAAGGTATACCACACCTCCGACATTAAACTCTAAGCTATTCTTCTTTATGTCATTATGTTCTTTTTGGTAATTGCAATGGACATCTTTCAGTATATCCAAAAGCAGTTCTACTTACTCCACTGCCTCTTGAACCAACTTCGACTCTATATCTCAACGTTCCTCCACTTGGCTCTTAACCCCTCTTTGGTGTGTCCTTCTCCTTGGTTCCTTAACAATAACCAATTCACACATGCCTTAAGAGTCACCACGTACCACCCCTTGTCCTATATGGATAGAGACTTCTTTACGTTTTACTTGATATTTCGAGGTTACAATTCCTTTTTGGGCTCTCCAGTCTCAATACATTTTTCCTTCGAGATACTTTTTCAAATGCTACTGAAAATCTTTCATGCTATGGCAAACTCCAATGTGAGTAGGTACTCATCATAGTCTTCTGGTAAACCCATTTCTACAATCCCTTGTAAATCCACCTTCACCTTCCTTAGTGAAGTTCTCACACTTTCTCTAGTGGAGTCTTTCCCACTTTTGATAGTGAAATCGTTTTCACACTCCTTACCTATCCAAATTAGTTGGGATTAGTGTAAGCTCTTTCAGAACGAAGCCTTCCTACATACCCAATGTTTTGGCAATTTGCTAGAACGCATCATCTTGTCTGGTTCACTCACAAAATTCCATCAACCATTTTTTTGGAGTTCATCTTTACATCAGTTGGCTAACTTGGCCCTCATATTGAACTTTAACACGGTCTTGGGGTCTTACTTACTCAATATCCAAACGTTAGATAATGGTTTTTATTTTGGGAATCTAAAATATGTTTCCATGACCAAACGCATTTTATGACATTAAGGATTAACTACATGCTCCCACATTCCCAATGTGTTACTTCCTTTTTCTCCAACGCTTGAATGAATCCTCATTCACTATGCATGTGGTACCTTCCATGACTTGGGTCACTTTTCCTTTATGACTTACACTTATACAAACTTCATTTCTTACAACATGCTTCTGTATGAGGAATTTCATGCTCTCTTGGTTCCCGGAGGTCCATCATATGTTTTTCCACATTTCCGTTAAGAACTCGTCCTTGCTAGACCAATGCAGTGCTTTCGTAACACTTCACTAGAGTTTTCTTTCTCTAGAGTTTCTCACCTCCTTGTGTCACCCAATAGACCTTCCGGCAAGCTTAACATGGAATTACCTCTAGTTATCCTGCAGCACTCCAAGTAAGGGTGTCCCTTACAGCTCTTACAAATCCTAGTTAAAATTAATCTCCCAAACCTTCCAAAGAAACGATCATAACTCTCTCGATATACCTCTGAATTTCATGATTCTGGATGCGATGGAAAGCGGGGAGAGAGACCGTTCTAAAGACACCAATATCGCTATCTGATTCCTTTTATATCCATGGCAAATGGCCCCGCAAGTTGATGGCTCGGAACTGCTTTGGTTTCTAAGGCTGGAGAGATTTTGGCAGAGCTTCGCTTTGAACTTCTCTTCACCCTTTCTGTCTGTGTACGTGGAGTATATATAGGAGGAGGCAGAAGTTTTAGGTTAGGGTTTTAGGACGTGGACCTTACGCCACGGGCTTTTCATTAGGTTTTGCACTTTAATGGGATTGGGCCGTGACAATTTGAGTATGAGAAACTCTGTTGTCTCTCTATCAAGACGCGTGAAACTCAACTTCATATCTTCTCCAGAGATCAGTTTCCTGTAGAGCATGAAAAAAAGTGTCGACAACCCAACCGTGACAAAGCTCAAATTTAGGTTTCTGAATCAAGACCAGATAGAACCCTTCACCAATCAATTTTACGGCTCTCTTGCCAAGAATCTAACTTATATAAAAACGTTTTCCTCTGGAATCCTAGTTCCAAAACCTTACATATGGCCCTTAGGATCAGATCTTTACCTTCAACCCCATACGTCTCTTGTCACATAAGCTCATAAAGAAGGCTTACAAGTTTTCGCTTCGGATTTTGCCAATGATTTCATGTTTGCGTATAACTACAGCTATGATCCAACATCTGAGTATCTATCTTTCTTTGACAATGGAAACTTCTCTGTTGTTGGTTTCTTATCATGCTTTCCGGTGATTCCATATAGTACCGGGCCTCACATTTTAGGAATCCAATTCAAAAGAGGAAAATGAGGCCCTAAAAATGATTTCTTGAGCTAAAATAAAAAACTGAAAAAATTATGGGCCCCTAAAATTTACAGGAAAAAAAATTGAGTCCCCATTCTAAAGAATTGTTAGAATGGGCTCAGCCCCGGTCGTAACTCCATATCGAGCCATCAATAAGTTAGAAAAAAGTCCTTTTATCTTTCTCTTCCCATTTAATACTTTATAGATTACGAAAGCAAGATTCTTGTTTGCTTTCCACAGATTGATTCTCTCATGTGGACAATAGAAAAGCTAAGGAGCAAGGTAATGCACGGAGTAAAGCATACATAAAGCATAGATGAAAATTTTACATCTTTAAAGTTGCAGTGACTCAGTTTGATATTGCAGCTAAGGTGATTATTATTTCGAAGGATGGAGCAAGTGGAGATTTCACAGACTGTACTAATTTGGCATATGAGAAAGCTGTGAGAGACGGGGTTGACATTCTTGATTGCAATGCCCAGATGTCGAAGGGCAAGGTCCCCTTTTGCTTGAGCTCCATAGATCTTTTGAACAACACTAATGTCTTTGAATCAAGCTTCAGAAATCTGTCATCAGTAGTTTCAGAGATTCAGCAGAAAAGTGGAAACTACACAAAAAATTTAGTTTGTACTCTCAAAATTTCTTTTATCGAGTCTTCTTTTGTCTAGAGTCATTTCTATTCCTGTGGGGATTGTTGGAACTCGTTTTTAAACAAATGGTTTAGGCCAGTTTCCGGTGGCGTTTCCGGACAACTTGTTTGTCAGAATGACCAGATTTTGGAATCATTGGATTCCTTGTTGTGAGCACTATAAGATAGTGTATTCATATGTAAAAAACGGTTTTCGTTTGAATGAGAAATGGAGGTTTAAAGTGAGTTGCTTATAAAACTTAAAACTGTATCATTTGTAAAACTGTCCCACATTAGAAACATGAGATGATATTCTTTTGTATATATTATGGAAAATTAATAATGAGGTTAAAAAGCCTTAAATACACTTTGGTGTATAGAAGAAAAGAATTTGTGATTTAAAATTGGTAAATAAGTATATATTTTATTCTTTTTTGCCAAATTCATATTGACTTATTTTTAATTAAATCAGTCAATACAAATATCTTGTCTTATTAATTTCCATAAAAGAAATATTTGTGTTATTGCTCCATCAGTTTTATTTTCAACTAGATTAGGCCCCGCGTATACGCGGGTTTATTTATTTATTTTTTTCTTGGAAGAATATTAAACAAAATTTGATCAATTTTAAAAATAAGAAAATAATATTAAAAACCCGATAACAAATCTCTAAATAAAGATATGTAGTCTTTTACATTTTTATTTTGAATTCATGATATGAAATAGAAAGATTTACATGTGTCTAAATCTAATCGACTCATTATTTTATGAAACTTTGATTATTCCATGATGAAATCTTTATTTTTAATATTTTTTTACCTAACAAAACATGGAAAATTAAACTATTTAATATTAGAAGATCAGTCCATTATAAAATTTTCTTTTTTAATATTATTTAGTTCCTTAATAATTATTTTGTTAGTTTTCTATTTATATTGTTTCTTTTTCAATTTCGTTTTTGCCTCTGACCATTATAAATTTTCATTTTCATTATTAGTTAGTTGTTTTAATATTATTTTGTTAGTTTATTTATTTATGTTACTACATTTTTCCAATTTTCTTGTGTTGACACATGTCATCACTTCATCAAATATTAGACACATGTATCGATCTAAAGTTAAGTATTCTTCATTGATATCTTTAACTTTTAAAGACATGAATTTTATTTCTTAATGAGAAAGAAACTTAAAAAATATAGCTTGTTATATATTTTTTTTTTCATTTTCGTAATGGGAATATGTTTTTTTATTCCTTTTCTTATTGGATGTAACATTTTTTAATTATTTCTTCATGTTTTTCTGATTTTCGTTTTTTTCCTTTTCGTAATAGAATTATGTTTTTTCTTTACTTCTCATAATGGATGTAATATTTTTTCTTTTTAATTGTTTGTTTCCTGTTTTCTGATTTTTCCTAATGTACTAATAGGATTTTATTCAAATAATTTTAATTTCGATCCAATTGACCTAGAGTCAAATAATCTCCATTGTTCTCTTGAACTTTCAAAGACATGATTTTGAAATTAGAGAAAGAGAATCAAAGAGATTTTCTGAATTTGCTTTGATGAGTTTGTGAATGAGAAAAAGAGACTACAATAGCTCTCTTTTTATAGGGGTTCATGTAACCAATTTCATACAGTTTTAGGATATTTAGTTTACATACCTATTACATGTACTAATAGGATTTTTTTAAATAGGAGTTTATATAACTTATTCCATACAATTTTAGGATATTTAGTTTACATACCTATTCCATATACTAATAGGAATTTTTTATTACATTATTTTCATTTTATTATATAAAATTTCGTTTTTATTATAAGATATTAAAATTTCCCTTTAAAATAAAAATTTCCTTTTTCCGAAGACATGTGTCACGATCTTAACGGATATAACATTAAAAGTGACACATGTCACAATCCTATATTTTATAAAAATCTACGTGTCGCAACCACATCACGCGCATCCAGCTTTATATAATAAGATTAATGGTCAATAATATTAAATCAAAGAAAATTAAACATGGAGTAGTAATAATGTGTTTCTTAGTTGAGCATAAAAGCTCGTACTCTCTCCTCCTCTCATAAAAACACACGAAGCAGAAAAACAAACAATCTTTCACTATATTTTATTGTTTTATCTTTTATTTTCTTTTGTGTTTGAAAGTACACACAAAATTAGGTTCGATGGGTTTGCAAATCAGAAGATTGTTGCAGTTGTATCTTGGGACTCTAATCGCCATAGAGTCGGCACACTACGGGGCGATTTTTGAGTTAAGGAAAAAAATAATATATTGCCTCTACAAATCTATTATCAAATTCTTGTTCTTTGGTAAAATATTATTGTATTTTATTTCTGTAATTCTTTTAGTTCTGTACAATTTTCAGTCTTATTGTAGTTTCTAAATTGCGGTTCTAACATACTTCTCTTGTCACATAAGCTCATAAAGATGGCTTACAAGTTTTCGCTTCAGATTTTGCCAATGATTTCATGTTTGCGTATAACTACAGCTATGATCCAACATCTGAGTATCTATCTTTCATTGACAATGGAAACTTCTCCGTTGATGGTTTCTTATCAGACTTTCCGGTGACTCCATATCGAGCCATCAGTATGTTAGAGAAAAGTCCTTATTCTTTCGTTTAATACTTTATAGGTTACGAAAGCAAGATTCTTGTTTACTTTCCACAGATTGATTGGACAACGAAAAGCTAAGGAGCAAGGTAATGCACAGAGTAAAGCATACATATAGCATAGATGAAAATTTTATATCTTTAAAGTTGCATGACTCACTTTGATATTGCAGCTAAGGTGATTATTATTTCGAAGGATGGAGCAAGTAGAGATTTCACAGGCTGTACTGATTTGGCATATGAGAAAACTGTGAGAGACGGGTTGACATTCTTGATTGCAATGTCCAGATGTCGAAGGACAAGGTCCCCTTTTGCTTGAGCTCCATAGATCTTTTGAACAGCACTAATGTCTTTGAATCAAGTTTCAGAAATCTGTCATCAATAGTTTCAGAGATTCAGCAGAAAAGTGGAATCTACACATTCAGCCTGACCATGTCTCAAATACGGACCTTGAAGCGTAAACGAAACTACAAACTAAAAACCAATTTTCATTAGTAAATACTTTTTGAATGAATATTTTATCTGAAATATAACGGGGCATTGTTTTTTCTTCAACGCACCCGCTATTGTTGGAATTAATTGAGTTTAGTATGTTTATAAGTTAGAATAAAGTATGTATTAAACGTTGTCTTTGTAAAGTCGTGACCATTGATCTTGATCTTTGTGTTGTTGTGTCTGTTTATGTCTATATAAATCATTGATCTTGTAATGTAAAACTATCAAGTTTCAGAGTAATAAATCTATTTCCTCGTTAATCTTCTTCTTCACAAGAGAAGAGATAATCTCTTATCTCTTACTCTGTTTTGTCTCATCTTCTTACTTTCTTTTCTAAACACAAAATCTAACATGGTATCAGAGCTTATGTTGGTCCTGGAACCTATTTAAGCACAAAAAGAATAAGAAGAAATCCGCTACTAGAAGAGAAAGATGGAGACTAATTCGAAGGGAAATGAAGAAGAAGAAGAAGAAAAAGAAGAGGCTCCGATGCATGGAGAAACGGATCGGGGTTCTGAAACTTGAGTGTGCAAATTCGACCTCGAATCCCTCAAGAACAAATTCGCTCTCTCTCGCAATGGAATCGAATCGAAGAAAGTAATAAACGCAGAAAGTAAAGAAGACGAGATTTGGTAACCCAGGAGTTCGTTTCCTACTCTCCTCGAGCACGGTTTCTACCGGCAATAATCCACTAGAACTTGCTCGAGATCGAGCTATGGATCTTCGTCTCTCTCGTTGCCTCTCGTTCTCTTTTCCCTCACTAAGCCTTGATCTGTTACAGAGACTATGCTCAGATCTTATCTTAAGGCTCTAATCACCTAAATGTCGACTTATATATTCCGTCATACATCAAATCTACCCAAGTGAGATAACCGGAGCCTATTACTTGGTAAAGCTCAAACCGGCTAAACCTTTAGAACTAACCCGAGGCACACGAGAGAGACTAAGTACAATTCATTAGATACAGAACACTACCTTCAAATCTCCACCTTGTTCTGCATCAAATGATCAGTTATAGGGATGAAGATGAGCTTTCAAATCACTTCTCATCTGCTTGGGACATAAACTTGTCCTCGATAACTTAATATCTCCACCTTCCTGAGAATAAACTTCCTCAACTTGAGACCTCCAGAGTAAACTCATTCAGCCTCCAATAACTTAAGTGGTGACTTTACTTCCGTGAAATCCTGAAATCCTGAGCAGCTCCAAGGCTTCTTGAAACTTGCCCACCGGTAACACCTTAGTAAAAATATCCGCTGGATTGTAATCTGTAGCAATCTTCAGCACTCGGATCTTCGCCATACTGATCAAATCTCTGAGAAAGTGAAGCTTGACATCGATGTGCTTCGTCCTCTCATGATGAACTGCATTCTTTACCAATGCAATCGCGCTCTGAGAATCACAATAGATGTCTACAGCTTCTTGCTTGAAACCTAACTCGTTCATCAGACCTTTTAACCAAACGGCCTCCTTTGCTGCATCCGCCAAAGCAACATACTCTGCTTCAGTCGTCGATAAGGCCACAGTCTTTTGTAGACTTGATTTCCAGCTTATCCTGTTTCCTCCAAGTGTAAAAACTATTCCAGAAATGGACCTCCTTTTGTCCATGTCTGCTGCGTAGTCTGAGTCACAATAACCCTTGAGCACAAAATCTCCTTCGTTCCTGTAACTAATCTTCATATCTGAGGTACCATTCATGTATCGCATAATCCACTTGACTCCCAACCAATGTTCCTTAATCGGGTTAGTCATGAACCTGCATACCAAACCCACAGAGTATGCCAAGTCAGGACGTGTACCAATCATCGAGTACATCAGACTTCCCACTGCACTGGGATCTTCTCCATCTCTTCTCTCTGATCTTGTAGTTCCTCCTCTGTAGCTGCCATGAACCTGAAATGAGCTCCCATTGCTGTAGAAACTGTCTTCGACTGATCCATGCCGAAATTTCCAAGTACTTTCTTCACGTAACCTTCTTGTTAAATTGTCAAAGTCCCTTTGACTCTATCTCTGGTGATCTCCATTCCCAGAATCTTCTTCGGCTCTCCTAGGTCCTTCATTTCAAACTCTGAACTGAGCAGCGCCTTTAACTCCTCCACATACTTCTTATCTTCTGAGGCAATGAGTATGTCATCCACATAAGGAGAAGATAAACATACTCATTCCTTCGTAGCTCCTTGAAGTACACACAGCTATCATACTCACTCCTCACATACTTATGAGACTGCATAAAACTATCAAACCTTGTGTTCCATTGACGAGGTGACTGTTTTAGGCCGTATAGCGATCTCTGAAGTAGGCAGACCTTGTCTGGATACTTCTCATCCTCATAACCCTCTGGTTGCTCCATATAAATCGTCTCATCCAAGTAACCATGGAGAAACGCCGTCTTCACGTCCATCTGTTGAAGCTCCATGTTGAAATGAACCACCATTGAAAGAAGAAAACGGATTGACACATGCTTCACAACAGGTGAGAAGATCTCCTGATAGTCTATTCCTTCTTTCTGAGAGTATCCTTTGGCAACCAATCTTGCTTTAAATCTCGGATTCTCCACTCCCACGATACCCGCTTTCCTTGTGAAGATCCATCTGCAACCGATAGGTCTCTGAGTCGCAAATCTGTCCACTAGCTTCCAGGTCTTGTTCTTGAACAGTGACTCCATCTCATCATCTGAAGCTGCTAACCACTTCTCGCTGTCTGGATCTCTCAGGGCTTCCTGAAAGTTCCCTGGCTCTGGTTTTCCACCATCTTCAATCACTACATACGCATAGCCTGCGATGTCGTCTTCGTCTTCCTCAATCTGATAATCTTCAAGTCTGAGTGGTTTACGAGTTGGTCTTCGTGACCGATCTCTGGCTAGTTGATAGTCCTCAAGCGCTTTGGCATTTGCTTCTGAGTTCCCAGAACTGCTACCTTGTTCAACCTGAGTTGGTTCAGAGGGACCTCCTTCTCTCTGATCAGCTCCACCTTGAGTTGAGCTATCTGGTTCCCTGTTATCACCTGCAAGACCATTTCTCACACACACATCAGTAGAAATAGGTGTAAAGTTAATACCTGATTGTGTGGTCGAATTCTTGATGTCTTTGTACATCATGTCTTCTCTAAAGACCACGTTTCGGCTTATCGTGATCTTCTCTTCGTCTAGTAACCAAACTCGGTATCCTTTGACGCCTTCAGGGTAACCGGTGAATACTCCCTTCTTAGCTCTCGGATTGAGTTTTCCTGCATCTGAGTGAACATATGAGACACACCCGAACACTCTGAGGTTTGATAGGTCTGGTGCAGCTGAGGTCCATCTTTCTTCTGGGATTTCGAAGTCTATAACCGACGACGGTGATCTATTGATCAGATATACTGCCGTTGAAGCAGCTTCTGCCCAGAATCTTTGCTCCAGCCCGCTTTCACTCAGCATGCTTCGAACCTTATTCATGATGGACCTGTTTAGACGTTCTGCAACTCCATTTTGTTGTGGAGTGTAGGCACATGTCTTATGCCTGACAATACCAGCTTGTTTGCAGAGACCATCAAACCTGTTATTACAAAACTCCAAACCATTATCAGTTCTTAGTTTCTTTACTTTCCTTTCGGATTGTAATTCCACCATCCTTTTCCACTCAGAAAATTTATCAAAAGCTTCATCTTTAGACTTAAGAAAATAAATCCAAACTTTCCGAGACCAATCATCAATAAAAGAGATAAAATATTGACTGTTACCTAGACTTATGGGAACATTTGGAGATCCCCATAAGTCTGAATGGATGTAGTCGAGTTTGCTTTTGGTGACGTGTTGAGCTGGGCCAAAACTTGATCTGTGAGTCTTCCCCATAACACAGTCCTCGCAAAACTCCAGGTTTGACACTTGATTCTTCTCGATACACCCTTTCTGGACCAAAACATCCAAGCCTTTTTGCCCTACGTGACCCAATCTGCTATGCCATAACTTCGTGTCATCTTCCTTGGCTAGCTTCTGACTAGTTGTATCACTCGTTGCTGCACATGCTTCTCCTGATTTGGCTTTCCCTTGAAGAAAGTATAGCGTGTCTTTCCCATTTCTCGAACCTTTCATGAACACGGTGCATCCCTTGATAACCTTCAACACTCCACCTCCACCTTTGAAGACACAACCCTTCTCCTCTAACGTTCCCAGGGAGATCAGGTTCCTTCCAATCTCAGGCATGTAACGCACCTCATGTAAAACAAAGGTAGTGCCATCAGGGTTCTGAAAACGTACTGAACCTATGCCTCTAACATGTGCCTGAGTATTGTTTGCCATGTTGACACGTCCTGTACACATATCCTTCATTTCGAGGAATACATCTCTCCTTGGTGTCATGTGGAATGAGCACCCAGTGTCCATGATCCATTCATCTCCGTTGTTGATGCCTTGCGAAAGATTCACTTCTTGAGCCACAAGACCCACCAAATCCTTTGCATCGTCTCTTGCCAGAGACGCTTCACCATTATCCTGAGAGAAAGACTTGCCCTTATTTCTCTCTAACCATTTGTAGCACTGCTTCTTGAAGTGTCCTTCCTTTCCACAAATCCAGCAGACCTTCTTGCCATCTCTAGACTTTGACCTTGACTTGTTGTTCTGCTTCCCTTTTCCTGGCTTGAAGCTTCTGGTTTCTTCCCTGCCTCTCACGTAATGGCTTTCACCATCATTACTTCTCGAACTTGGCATATCCCTAAACTCAGATTCCTTAGACCTTGCTGCACTAGCTACTTCCTCCATCTTGATTCCCTCTCGGCTGTACTTGAGAGTCTCTTTTAACTGATCGTATCTTGAGGGCAGCGAGTTCAACAAGAGAATAGCCTGAACCTCTTCTGGGATTTCAATACTCAAATTTCCAAGATCTGCAACTAGCCTTGTGAAGTCATCTACGTTCTGATCTATCGACTTAGAATCATGCATCTTGAACGAGTATACCTTCAACTGCGAGTGGACTCGGTTAGGTAACGTCTTCGCGAGATAAAGACGATCCAAAGTCTCCCAAGCCTTAGCTGCAGTTGTGCACTTATCGAGCTTCCTCAATATCAGATCATTCACATACATGAAGATCAGATTCAACGCCTTATCGTCTCGTTCTAACCACGATGCCTTATCCTCAAGTCGCTTCTTCCTTGCAGCTGGAGTTTCTTCGAGAATCTCCTGCTCCGTCATTGTAACCTCCTCCTTCTCTTTGAGAAGATCCTTGAGACCCTGGACTGTGATGTTAGCCAATATCCGTTTCTTCCAGATCGCGAAATCGCCTTTTCCGTCGAACTGTGCGATCTCAGGTCTTGATCCCATTTTCCTCCGATATTTCCTCTGACCTTGCTTCGATCGATTCCCCCAAGTCGCAACCTGGCTCTGATACCAATTTGTGCAAATTCGACCTCGAATCCCTCAAGAACAAATTCGCTCTCTCTCGCAATGGAATCGAATCGAAGAAAGTAATAAACGCAGAAAGTAAAGAAGACGAGATTTGGTAACCCAGGAGTTCGTTTCCTACTCTCCTGGAGCACGGTTTCTACCAGCAATAATCCACTAGAACTTGCTCGAGATCGAGCTATGGATCTTCGTCTCTCTCGTTGCCTCTCGTTCTCTTTTCCCTCACTAAGCCTTGATCTGTTACAGAGACTATTCTCAGATCTTATCTTAAGGCTCTAATCACCTAAGTGCCGACTTATATATTCCGTCATACATCAAATCTACCCAAGTGAGATAACCGGAGCCTATTACTTGGTAAAGCTCAAACCGGCTAAACCTTTAGAACTAACCCGAGGCACACGAGAGAGACTAAGTACAATTCATTAGATACAGAACACTACCTTCATTGGGGATTCCCATAGTTATTGGGGAGGCGATGGAAGCAACATCGCATGGTGATTCCCATATGTGATATGTGATGGGGATGATACGATTTCTGTCGTATGTAGATGACGAGCATCTTGACGTCCAAGAAGTGTGGTTGGTGATTGAAGACGGTTCCAGATCAACCGATACATGGAGCGGTTATAGATTTAACCGCAGAAGATGTGAAAACGTTTCACGTTTGTGATGTCATGGAGACGTTGGTGATGTTGATCAAAAAAAGACACCAATCAATGAAGCAGGCTGCTTACCTAAGAGAAAAAGGGAGTTTAAGCCGTTGGTTATGGAATAACCGAGAAAGACGTGAATAATGAGATTCACGCATGGAAACGGTTACACAGACTAGCCGAGAAGACGTGGATAGTGAGATCCACACATGGTGGATAATGAGATCCACACATGGAGGCGGGAGTTAACGGGAGACGTGAAGAAGAGTCACGTTAACTTCAATGAGACAAAGAGGATGCTTACCTCTATGAATAAAAAATGGAGCAGAGAAGACGTGATGACGATTCACGCATGAGACGTTGATGATGATCCAAGGAAGACACCGAAAGAGGATGCTTACCTCAATGAATAAAAAATGGAGCAGAGAAGACGTGATGACGATTCACGAATGAGACGTCAAGAAGACGTTAATGGTGATTCATAGGAAGACACCAAAGGAGGATGCTTACCTCTGTGAAAAATGGAGCAAAAGAGGATGCTTACCTCAGAGAAAAATGGAGCACTCGGTTGAAGAGTTAACCGAAGAAGACGTGGAGAGAGGATCCACGCACGGTACGTCAAGGGAGACGTTTGATGGTGATCGAAAGTAGACACCAAGCACAATGTTTGATAGTGATCGAAAGAAGACACCAAGCACAATAAGAGGCTGCTTACTTAAATGAGAAAGGAGCAGGAACCGGTTACACTGTCAACCCAGGTTACGTGGACAAGAAGATTCACGCATGGAAGTGGTTACACAGATAATAACGAGAGAAGAAGTGGTGAATGAGATTCACCAACGAGACGTCACAGAGACGTGATGGTGATCAACAGAAGTCACCAAAGGAAACGCAGAGGCCAAAGGAGAAAGAGAACAGCGGTTCCACTCCATGGCGACCTGCAGAAAAGGAAGAACTGATTTCCACAAAGGAAAATCGAAATAGAGGAAGATCAAGAGAGATTCACACAAGAAGAATTAGGCGAGTGGAGCATCTGATCAACAGATCAAGAGGGAGACTAAGAAGACAGAGTTTACAAGTTCAGGAAGCAACTTAGAGTTAGACCGAAACTCAATTAAGAGGGAGTGTTGGAATTAATTGAGTTTAGTATGTTTCTAAGTTAGAATAAAGTATGTATTAAACGTTCGTGACTTTGGGTTTAGGGTGTGTTAAGACACAACTCTTTGTGTTGTTGTGTCTGTTTATGTCTATATAAACCATTGATCTTGTAATGTAAAACTATCAAGTTTCAGAGTAATAAATCTATTTCCTCGTTAATCTTCTTCTTCACAAGAGAAGAGATAATCTCTTAACTCTTATTTCGAATACTTTTAAGGAGTCTAGTTTATTCAGAAAAATTCAGAAACCCAAGAAATATAAACCTTCAAAATTCCGTACATTATCCGAGTTCTTGACTCTTCCAAACTGTTACACTTCTCTCTCAGGCATCTTGATAAAAGTGGAGTGAGACTTCTGTTTCAAGCCGATCTTATGTATGATATAATGACCAACACATTATTCTTTTTCTTGATATATCATTATTCGTTTCTTAGTACGCTGCATATTTAGTGGAATATCAAGGAATTGGCATAGTTGACGTTGTACTAGATGAACTGACGAAAGAAACAACTCAAGAAAGACATATAATATTGATCCAGTCTACTGATAAGTCTTATCTTGATGAAGTTTAAGGAGGAGAAGAAAATGAATCATGGCGAGCTGGTTTATCGCGTCCATGAAGACATACGTGATGTTGCAAATTATGCAATCAAAGACATCAAGAGTTTCGCAGGCTCGATTGTCATCAGTAAAAGATCTGTATTTCCCCACGACAAAGGATTTTCCAAGCTTGAGACAAATGTTGTTAAGAAGCTAAGATCTAGCGGGCTTCGTGTTTACGTACATACATTTAGCAACGAGTTTCTTACTCAACAGTATGACTTTTTCTCGGATCCAACGGTGCAGATAGACTCCTTTGTCCGAGTTATTGGGATTGATGGCATCATCACTGACTTCCCAGCGACCACTGCAAGATACATAAGTAAAAGTCTCTCTTCTCTCTTGCTTCTTCAACATTTTTATTGAGCCAATCTGAGATTATATTTTGATTGCAGAGAACAAATGCTACAGAAAAATGGAACAGATTAAAGCTGGTGAGATCATAAAATTCGCGGATCCAGCACTTCTTCCACCAGCTGAAGCTCCATATCCTTCACTAGTTGAGTCAGATGTCAGGGAACCACCATTGCCGGAAGTGAGAAGCCAGCCACCATCATTGCCTGAAGTGACAAGTCAGCCTCCTACTTATACGCCACCAAAAGCAGAGGCAAAAGCAATACAAGTTTCCTTTTTGCGGTGGTTATAACCATGGCGGTTCTTGTGAGCTTTTTTTTATCTCAATTTAGAGTAAGTGCTTGTAACTGAGTCAACTGACTTCAGTATAAATCTGTGAGGAACAATGTTTAGTATATCATTCTTCTTTTAAGTTTTCTAGAAGATTATCTAAAGCTTCAAATTTAGAAGAGGATATTAATAGGAATATGGAAATGGATAATCATAATCCCAAAAAAAACCAAATTTAGCGTATTTGACTTTAACTCTCTTCCAATGGATTCTTCATCACGAAAACTCACCATCCATTTGTTTCATCATAAAATAAACAATCAAAAACATAAGGAAGGGTTCTTAGTAGCAAAACAACATTATTTCTCATTTTTGTAGTTCCTTCTTCTTTTGAGGCCAAAAGAGACCAGATTCATTTTTGGTTTCTTCAAAGGCCAAACCTTTTTTTCTTATTTTCTCAGCAAACTCTTTTTGCCATCTTACAAAAAAAAAAGAAAGAAAAGGGATTTGTTCGTTTGAGAATTTATCTCGATCCCTTTTGGATTCAAGGTTCAACAACATCCCATGAACTTCGAGTAATCAATCATCTTCTTGTAGTAGTAATTATCCAGGAAGATATATAAAAAGTCATATACACAGAATGAAAATGCATTGCCTGTTATGTTGTATGTCCGAGAGGCGATTTACCAGACGATCATCATCTAGACAAAGCATCAAAGACTGCATTGATGCAAAGAACAATCTAACTAAATTTGACAACATCTCTTTTAAAACAGGTTCCCATTATTATTTTTTCTATCTTCTTCATCATACATGTCCATTCTCAAATTCCTTAAAGCTTTCTATACATATATCTAAAAGAAGCTGACATACCTGCAGATAGTAGTAGGCGAAGATACATCTCCGATGAGATAGCAAAACTTGGGAAAGGGAACATCAGTGCTCACATCTTTACATTTAGAGAGCTCTGCGTCGCCACCAAGAACTTCAACCCTGAGAATCAGCTAGGCGAAGGCGGTTTTGGAAGGGTTTACAAAGGCCACATAGAAACCCCTGAAGCGGTACTTGTTTAACATTACTCTCAAAAACAATCTCTCTCCCCCTTCATATTCTTGTTCAGCTTGATTCTGATTTCTTGGCGTTTATTACATATTTAGGTTGTTGCGGTTAAGCAGCTAGACAGGAATGGGTACCAAGGGAACAGAGAGTTTCTTGTGGAAGTCATGATGTTGAGTCTCTTACATCATCAAAACCTTGTCAATTTGGTCGGATATTGCGCAGACGGCGATCAAAGGATTCTTGTCTATGAATATATGCAAAATGGCTCTTTAGAAGATCATCTTCTCGGTATATACATGTAATAAACATTATACAAAACACTATAAACTACTATACTTCTCTAAAGATTACATATTTTTCTTCAGAATTGGCGCGGAACAAGAAGAAGCCGTTGGATTGGGACACAAGGATGAAAGTTGCAGCAGGAGCAGCAAGAGGGCTTGAGTATCTACACGAAACAGCTGATCCTCCTGTGATCTACCGAGATTTCAAGGCTTCAAATATATTGCTTGACGAAGAATTCAACCCAAAGCTTTCAGATTTCGGTTTAGCCAAAGTCGGTCCGACTGGTGGGGAGACTCATGTTTCGACGAGAGTGATGGGAACATACGGCTATTGTGCCCCAGAGTATGCTCTCACGGGACAGCTCACTGCAAAATCTGATGTGTACAGCTTCGGAGTCGTGTTCTTGGAGATGATCACTGGAAGAAGAGTCATTGACACAACGAAACCAACTCAAGAACAGAATCTAGTCACTTGGGTAAGAATGCAAAATTCTTGAAATTTATTTCATTTATAGAAACCACTTGATTGGTTAAATCGGTTTTCTAAATTGCGCAGGCAAGTCCATTGTTCAAAGATAGGAGAAAGTTCACGTTAATGGCGGATCCGTTGCTCGAAGAGAAGTATCCAATAAAGGGGTTGTATCAAGCGCTTGCAGTTGCAGCGATGTGTCTTCAAGAAGAGGCGGCAACAAGGCCAATGATGAGCGATGTAGTCACTGCGCTTGAGTACTTAGCCATGACCAATGCCGAAGAAGATGGGGAAACTTTAGAAATTAATAAAACAGATAACAACAACAGAGGAGAAGAAGAAGAAGACGAAAGATCTTAACTTTGAACCGTTTTTTTTATTTGTTTCTTTGTAATATTAATGACCGGTTTTAGGAGATTTGAAGAATTTTTCGAATTTGTGAAGATTTAAAAATAAAAGAAGAAGAAGATTATAGGAAAACTTCATTTTTTGTTCATGATTAGAGTTTTTGAGCTCCACTTTACATTTAACAAATTTGCTGAGAATTCTGTTGTGTTTGTTTTCTAAATTTTGTGAAATCAAATTAATGTTTCAATATTTAGAAAAATTTAAAAGAAAATGAAATTTAGGGGGTGTTATACAATTATGTATTTGAAATCAATTTTGTAGGTTTTATAATCCTTTAGATTTATTTTTTTTGTGTTATTTTAGGAATCCATATCAGTTGATTCTAAAGTCAGTGCAATATCTCACGGATTCTTTTTTTAATAATTTACTCATAAAGCTATATTGTAATTCATTTCATAATATTGGATTTAAACCGACAGGTCTCTTTCTTGGGCAGGACTATCAAGTACATGTATCTTTACTTCTTTGTTGAGGAAAATGCGGGTATTAGAGAAAGGTAGAAATGACTCAATAAACAAACATCTTTAAAGTCATTTAGTTTTGAATAACAATGGATTTTAAAACTGAATTTGAAATCTTGATTGAATAACACTGGATTTTAAATCTTTGATTGAATAATAATGGATTGTAATTCAATTTCAGTTCATTTCAAATACATCATCCAATAACACCTGCTTAGAGTACTTTATTTTTTTATAAGATATCAAATATGTAGAGCATGATCCTTTTAGAATTAAAAATCCGAACTTTTCGGAAAAATGTCATTTTTCTTTTTCTTAAAACCCTAAGAGGGTTTAAACTTTAAAGATTCATCATTGGTAATGACTACCAGCTCAGGTCTATGAAAAGCGCCACTAAGAAACTTTCTTTTTTTATCGCTAGAAGATGCCAATCTCTCCAAGCTGGGGAAGAGTAGCTTCGCTAACTAGGTCGATGGGGGTTTCTCTTCGCCATTTCTCTCCTTCGTCTTTCTGGGTTTCACACCATTCTCGCGTTTTGTTCTTCCATTATTTTGTTTCTCTTACCTCATTGTAGAATCCTTATCAGGCTTACAGCTTTTGTTTATTGTTGTGCTCTTCTTGAGATTTAATTGAAGGGTTGTCGAAACTTAGCTACCCATCCGCCAATTGCTCTGTTTGGTAGGTCTGTTGTTACTATAATTCACGTTTTGGGATAGTTGAAGCAGCATTTTAAGTTGTGTTTGCTGCAATTTGATTATTGTGTTAATCAAATTGCAGCAAGCACAACTGGTACCAAGTGGCTATAGTTCGATACCAAGTGGCTATAGTTCGACTGGTAAAGACCCTAGGCAAAGCTTAGAGGTCACATGATTGAGTGCCGCTTAGGATGAAACCAATATTATATGATGTGGTTTCGGGTTTAGGGAGATGTACGGGCTTCGGCCCATAACCTCATAATAATTCAAAAAAAAAAAATTGATTATTGTGTTATTCGGTTTCTCACTTAGGCTAATGTTTGGTTAACCGTTAATCTTTTGGTTAAGTAGAACAATGTATTGAAGGTGTTATCTTTGTGTTGATACCATTTTCTTTTTGTGCTTCTGATTTGCAGAAAAGTAGTTATCACAAAGGGAAATGCAAAATATTCCACTGCTACAGATAGTGATGGTTCCAATGAGTTTCAGTATTCACGTCCATGGTGTGGGATATATGCAGGTAATAAATAACCCAAAATCAATCAAGTGCACAACTTATAAATAGTATTTAGGGGTAACCACTGAACATTGCGAGTATACATTTCATGTTTTACAAAATTCGGGGGGTTTTGTGTTTTTCGTTTTATAAAACACTAGATTAGGCCCCACATATATGTGGATTTATTTTAAGATTTTTTAGTAAATAATGGAAAACTTGAAACAAAATTTGATCACTTTTAAAAATAAACAAAATAATATTAAAAACTCTATAACAAATCTATATAAATAAAATAAGATTGGTAATCTTTTTATATTTCTACTAGGACTTTCACCCGCGCACGCGCGGGTCTGTATCTTAAATCGGTTTAAAATATATTTTTAAAGAATATTTTTTTTAAACTGCAAAAATCAACAATTAAAATTTAATAATATTTCAATACCAAAATTCTCTGAAAAAAAAGTTTTTAGATATATAATATCGTGTTGAGATCAAATCTTGACATACAAAAATATTGTTTAGATCATATCCCGGTAACAAAAATGTTTGTGTATGTCTAATGACCAAAACTTACTTGAAGATATTCAAATCATTATAATAGGACAAACTTTATTAGTAATATATATATTATAAAATGTAATGTTAATTTATGAACTATTGTGACGTGTTAATCATTTTCTAAACAGAAATATATTTTTAAATATGTATAGTGAAATTCTTAAAATTAGATGTCAACAGTATTTGTATGTAACATGATGTTTATTTAAAATAACTTCAATTCGTTATGTTAGAACTTAAAATGCTATAAACAACATATAATTTATTTTTCAGTACATTTAACTTACACATCGTGTTATTAGTTTATAAACTTTGATCATAATAGTATATATTTAGCTTTTATATAATATAAATTATGTATATTTTTTTTATGGCTTAAAGAAAATCTTAAATCATTGTTTGTTCAATGTTGATTTTTTGTTAGTAATTTTGTCACGTTTTTTATGCGTTATGGTATACATTTCTTTTTAGAAGTAGTTTTATATTAATGTTTACTTGAATATTTCCGCCTTAAATCTGTTTATAAATACATTCTTGTTCAAAAAATTTGTTAGTTACATATTTGTTTAGAAATTGCAAAATTCAGTTAGTGTTTATTTAATTGCAAAAATGGTTATTAACTCACCTCATATCATGTTTCTAATCAAATCGAGTAATCATATTTGGCAAGTTTATACTACACCAAAAATGAAATATTTCCTCTTGAATTTGATGGCAAAAGCTTTGTCTTGACCGATCAAACTCTGGCTGCTCATGGAATTGATACACCTCCTGCAATCATTGTGATCATCAAAGAAACAGTCTCCATATCTTCTTCATATGTCTTTCTACAGTATGAGTCTTGGATCAAGCCTGCTTCTCAATAAACTTATGGCAAACTCACACTTTTTCAGAACTCTTTGAAGATGTAGAAAAACTGATTATTCTACCCCTAATAGGTTTATTGCCTATATCTTTTTATCCTTATATATTTTGCCATTTTTGGAAGGTTCATGATTTTCTCTTATTTGAAAATCGTTATTTACATGGAGATGAAATCTTCTTAAAGGATGTGAAGGATGCAGACATCAACCTCTTCTTTCCCTCTCCGTCTGACCTCCATTATCCTCCCGAATACGAACTCTTATTTTGTTGATGTAGGGTGGAATGCTTTCTCGAAAATTTGTTGTATGGTTGCACTATTAAATCTCCTTTGAATTCTTCTGCTCCATAGTAATCCAAACAAACTATTTACTTTTTTGACCATTTTTTTGAAGCTACGATGAACTAAATATTATATAGTATGCTATTGTTTTCTTGATTTTTTGTTTTAGCTCCCAAAGCTTGATCTCTCTCATCACCTAAAAAACTGCAAATGAACTCATATGTCTTCTATACGACATTACACATTTTTGTTTCTATCTCCATTTTTTTATTCATAGATTATGTAATGTTGAGATCGACTTTTTGCAATGTTGGCTTTGTTTGCTTAGAACAATTCTTCAGTTATTATGGTGTAACCTACTCTTTATTTGTAAAAACTTAAGTTTGGTCAAAGATAGTTCACCTTAAGGTTTATTTAATTCTTTATAACTAATATTTTAGTTATACAAATGTTTTTATATAATTTTTAAAATTTTAGTAAATTAACAATATTTTTAAAAATCTTAATTTAATTACGTTGGACTTGTGGAGTTTCTAATTTAAACCGGTTCTATTAATTAATTTTCTTGAAACATAAAAGAAGTTAACTAAGATGACGATATAGATTAATATTATTGGCTGTTTAAAATTTGAAAAAAATAGATGATGATATAGATTAATACTATTGGTTGTTTAAAATTGGGAAAAAAATAATTATGTAAATGTTTATGTGGACCAATAAGATGCGTTTTATAATCTTATGTGGACACTCTTAAATGCATTTAGCCTCAAATTTTATATTAAAAACATATTTATTAAAAAAATATTAATTAATCACTTTAGACTTGGGAGTTTCTAATTTAAACAGATTATACTAAAAATTCTTGAAACATAAGAAAGAAATTAACTAATTTAACAAATATAGCTAATTTTATATGATGATATAGATTAATACTATTGGTTGTTTAAAATTTGGAAAATTTCTTAATTTTATATGATTATGTGGAATGATACTATTGGTAGTTTAAAATTTGGAAACTTTCTTAATCTTGAAGATGCTTATGTGGACCAATAAATCGTGTTTTCTAATCCTATGTGGACGTCCTTAATGGCTTATAGCCTCAACTTTTATATAGTACTAGGTATTTTACCCGCACTACGCGCGGGTTCCTTTTTATGTTTTTTTTTCTTTTAATTATGAATTTCTAATTTTTTATTTTTTAAAAATTCCATTGATACAAAATCTTTACAATTTTTATTTTTTATTTTTAATATTTTAATAATTTATTTTATAATTATAGTTTCTTATTATTTAATTTCTTTATATTTTTAATTTTACCAAATCAATTTAATTATTGTATAGGTAGTCACAATAATAAAATAAATTTCTTATTAAAAACATATTACAAACCTTTCTCACATTTTCTCGTAAGGCATAGAGGCTCGATCATTGGAGAAGTTACATTAATTCCTAAATAATATTGTCCTATTGTTTCAATTGAGTATATATAGCCGAATCTCAAATTTTTGGTTCAAAAGTCTGACCGGTTTTGTCACATTTTGGGTTTAGTCATCATTCTGAAATTATAAATTCATTACCTTCGGCTTCTAGATGCAAAGATGAAGATTCAAAAATGCGACTCTTTTGCAATTATTTTTCAAATACCTTAAATTAAATCTCATTTGTAAACTAGTTTCGTCGAAATTCTATATCTCTACATCCTTATTATCACCCTACCTCTCCTCTGCTTTAATTATATACATACTACCAGTTATTTTGTTTCACAACAATTTCATGTCATTGAAGCTCACAATTCATACCAAATTCTCTTAGCTCCAAATCTTTCTTATAATTTCCAAACATCCACTAATCAAACTTAGTTAGCTCCATATTTCATCACTGAAGAATCATATTTCTTTGAGGTACTATCTAAACTCAATTTTTCGTTAATCTTTTTGTTTTGTTTTGAGTCCTATTCAAATTTGGATCTATCATATACGTATTCCAGCCTTTAATTATTGCTTTCTTCTATAGATATATAATGTTTAGTCATCCATAATTGTTGGTTTGTTGAATTTTGTTGCCATTAAGTAATAATCCCTCCGTTTCAAATTAGTTGTCATTTGGGCAAAATGTATGTGCAAATATTTGGACATATCTGGACGTGTTTTGCATTGCAGATACATCCAAATAATTGCAGATACATTTTCCCAAAACGACAACTAATTTGAAACGGAAGGAGTATTAGTTTCTTTAGATAAAGACCTAAAGGATAAGTATTAGTCCTAGTCGATTTATTGTTACTCAGTTAGATCTTGTTTTGTCATGTTTTTGAACTCAGCTAGTGAACGTTCATGCTGCTCCATTTTTCGGTCATTCAATAGCTTTCCAAAAACTGTAGATAGTTGCAGTTTTTATTTTCAACCTATTGTCAAGACAATATTATTTCCATTTTAATATATAATATGATGCATATAGATCAACAAAATAACAATATGTTGATGCTTATATACAATATAAATTTTCTTTTGTATATATTCCTATATATTTACATATAACTTTTTTTAAAAAAAACTAATTAGTAACATATTTTGTTCAAAATAATAAAATGAACATGTAACATATTAACAATATATAATTTTAAATATTAAATATTTTATATTAAGAAAAACGAAATTTAAAAAAATATATATAGGAAGTAATTTAAAGATTATATATTTCATTCGAAGTAATTAAAATTAGAATTAAGTATTAAAGAAATATCATAATAACAATTAATAAGGAAATTCTTTAAGGTGCTTATGTGGACCAATCAAATTGAATTTTTATTTCCTTTTTCTGTCATTAGAAAAAAAAACTCTATTTTTTAAACACTTTAGTATGAAGAAAAATAAAATTAAGTGTTAAAGAAATATCATAATAACAACTAAAAAAAAAAAAATTCTTTTAAAGTGATTATGTGGACCAATGAAATTCAGTTTCTTTAATCTTTGTTGAACACTTTTAGAGGTTTATAGGATCAACTTTTATTTTAGATCATCTTATTCCTAATAGTAAAATGAAAAAAATCATTGTATTCCTAATGGCAAAAGGAATCACTATGCAATAAGGAAATTAGAGAAGTGGTAGTTAAAAAATTAGAAATTATCCTAATCTTAATCTTTCTCAAATAATATCCAATTTGTAAAACATTATCCAATTTGTTGAATATTAAAAAAAATGTAAATCTGCTAATAAGAATAAAAAAGAAAATAGGAAATTAATTCTTTAATAAAAAAAAATAACGACATGGACCAATCAAATTCAATTTTCGAATCCTATGTGGACACTCTCTAATGCATATAGGGTCAACTTTTATTAGTAATAGATAGATTAGAATTGACATTTCTTTGTTGATTTCATAATATGAAAAATGAACTAAACATTTTTATTTTTATTATTATCTAAATAGAAAGATCTGCACGTGTTTAAATTTTTTCTCAGTCCTAATGAAAGCTGACTGCGTCGAACTTTCTTTCTGTTAAGACGCATCGCTCTTGTAAATAGTCAGAACCTGAGATGAACAGATTTTGATGATATTATGAGTGTATGATGACAAGCCCCGTCTAAGGTAGAGAAGAATAAGCTCGCAAAAGGAGCTGTGCATGATGAAATGGAAGCCATGACTGCCTCCAAGCTTCTTCTGATGTTTCAACTGATATCATCCACCTGACAATTGCTTGTAACTTTGAAATTTGTATGGCATTCACGTTTTCTTGTTATACACACAGAAATGGAGACTGAAGAGAAAAGAGGATTCTCCAAGTCCCAAGATGTCTAACAATCCAACGGTGTGAAATTAACCAATAAGATTTTTGTTATCAGAAAGAGGAAAACGAGTGGATGATATTAGTTGAAACATCAGAAGAAGCTTGGAGGCAGTCATGGCTTCCATTTCATCATGCACAACTCTTCTGCGAGCTTGTTCTTCTCTATAACCAAATCCATCACCCTCCCAAGTAAGGCTCTCCTCTCAGTTTCTTGGAACTCGAGTTCTGAAGCTCCGGATCCGATTCGGACCTTCCAACGGGTCGAGAACCACTTGCTGGTTCAAGTTCGGAAAGAACGCGTTGATGCTGAGAATGCTGGAATCTATGGAAGCCAGTCACGGGATGATTTCGACAAAGACGACATTGAACAGGTTCGTCTTCTCTTCCAAGTTCTTGGAATCTTAGAAAATTGTGGAATATAACGTTTCTAAAATGCAAACGCAATAGTAAAAATAAACTCGTTTATAAATGAATAAAAAAAACAGAGAAAATGTTAGATATATAATTACATACCAGTAAAATATTTGTTGATTTTCCAGTGTGTCAACTACATGGGGATGCTTGCGTTTGAAGGCACATACGATAAAATGGAGGCTCTTTTCAACCAAAACATTCATCCCGTAGATATCATGTTATTGTTAGCAGCCTCAGAAGGAGACAAGCCTAAGATCGAGGAGCTTCTCAGATCCGGCGCTGACTACACGGTTAAGGACGCTGGTGGAAGAACCGCTCTTGACCGAGCCAGCAACGATGAGATCCGTGATTTGATTCTTGGATCCCTCACTCAAAAGGCTTGACAGATCTTCAACAGCCTTTCTCTTACATACAAGTCATGTCTATGTTTTGGTAACTCGCTAGTTGAAAATTTCAATCAGTCTCCATTGTTTTACTTTTAAAAAGTTTTTGCCCAAAGCCTCAACGGAGATGCAACTTAAAGAAAGCAGAGAGATTGGTCAAAGCTTGCCTTTTTCTCTCTCTTAGCAATTAGTCACCTTACAAAGCCAAATAGAAATTAAAATCTCTTGTCGATTAAACATTGGTAGATTGTTATAAGATATCTTTTAAGGAAGCAAAAGCTTTCTAAATGTTATTAACAAAATGTCAGAGATCGTCACCAGCACAACAGAAAAGAAGAAGCTGATCAACTATTTCTTAAATCCCTAAGAAGAGCGATCTCGTTGCTGCTGCTTGGCTCCGCTTTAATTCACTCGGCAGAATTCTCGTGCAATAGGACGTACTCTCGGCTACACAGAAACACGCGAAGACTGTTTAAAACGAGAATATGCATGACAATGATTCAATACAAGTTGACAATCTTCACTAGCATACCTGCTGTTGCCAAATTTTATGGTATCTTTCTCAAGAAGCTCATAGTAACGTTGTGGTTCAATAGGCTTTTCCTGCAAGAAAAAAAAAGTTCATTACAAACGATGAAATCAATCAATGATAAAGAAGCAAGAAAGCACCAATGCAATTCAGCACTCACATTTATGTAAGTTTTATTGGTACTCCCAAGATCCATAAGGTAAGGCCTGCAAGGTGACATAAAGGGAAACTAAGTTTTTACCTTGGCAGAATTGTTTCAGAGTTTCAAGCAAAATAAAAAAGCAAAACAGGGTTTTACCTCACTTGCTTCCCCATCATACCATCTGGTTTCTCTATCTCCATTTCCCTGAGAAAAGCATATGCACAGTGACAGTAACATTAACATTAACCTTAAAACTCTTATTCTCGTTAGATCTATTGTCAACAAAATTTACTAATCAAAAGGCAAACTCCATGTCAGAAACCTACCTGTACTGAAGAACAGCATGCTGCTTGCTGCAAGACGGATGATCAGTTGGAATGTCAGCGATCCTTCTCTCACGTCCAAAGACATAGCAACTTTGGCGATGGATGGGAAGTGGCTCTGCTAACAAAACACATCTCACATGCATAAATATCAAACACGGGGAGAAACAAAATAAAGTATTATGAAGGGAATACTAAAGGGTTTAAAGACTCACCATTCAGTGGTTCACCATCCTTAAAAACATAAAGTCTCCATCTTTGGTTGGGTTTTCTAGCCTCTGGTGGCTCATTGAAGAGGAGTGTGATACCTGCAAGTGCAGAGGGTTCAGAAAACCAGGGAGTCATGCCTATTATGACCTTTAATGCGAGACACTCTTATCTCTATTCCTAGGAGGAAAAAACGAAATCTGCAGCTAAAATAATATCTGCTGATAGTAGATGCTACACAGTTATAGTCTCATTAGCCATTTAGGAAAAAAATGTAGTAGGTGCTACACATTTTCTCATTAGTCATTTATTAAACAAATTATTACCACCTAATAACAAACACATGTCTAACACTGACATGAAGATCACTGTAGCAAAAGTTTAATGACAAAACAATGCTAACAGTATATATACTCCTAATAAAGTGCCCGGATCAAACGTTACCTCTGTATCTGTTGGTTTCTTCTGCAAGTTTCCCCGATAGCTCAAAAGATGGTTCTACCTGGAAGATATAACAAAGTAAGATTTAAAGCGTCAATACATGGATGAGCCAATAGAGCACAAATAGGAATAGAAAAAGTAATAGTAATAGATGCTGCATATAATACCTTTTTCTTTGCTGCCAGGGCTTCTTCAGCTGCTCTCATTCTGGCAACTGAATCATCTTCGTCATTGCTGTTAAAGAAAACCCCCAAACATGGTAAAAACCAAAGGCTGACAAAACATAAAGATTAATCTAATAAGAAGAAAACTCACGGTTCCTCGCTCCCCCCTATTGCATTGGACCCCTGAAAAGATAAAAAGAGATCAAATTGACTGAAAAAAGTGACAAATATTTGTGGCTCACAAAAATTAATAAGAAGGAAATTTGCTATGGATAGCGTGATATAAAGATTTAAAATGATACAATAAAGTATGCAAGAACGAATAATACATAAAACTATATCAAATGCAAAAGAAGTCTATATAATAAGCTTTTACTAATAGAAAAGAAACATGTCTGTTAATGTTACTGGACATGCGGAAGAGAATAAAATAAACTCTCCTAGACTCCTAGTCATATAGAAACACAGTCGGTCACAAATGGATTGCTGCAGGTTCTAATCATAGACTTGAGGGATAGAAAAGCAAAATTACAGGTTTCACGCTAAATATCATGTCAAACAAGCATCATAGGCTAACTTACTAGCATACACTAAAGATAAACAATTTCGATCACATTGTCATTTCAAGCAGAATACGAACACGCACAAGTAAAACCAACTAATAAGAATATATATATATATATATATATATATATATATATATTTAAGCTTAAGAAGGGTGGACAAATACAGAAGCAGATACCTCATCAAGCCTTGAGGCAGTAGATCTTTCTGGAGAAGGCCTATTCTTGTGACTCCTAACTAACGGTGAAGTAGACCTTCTTCCTCTAGGGCGTCGTCTCTCATCATCAGATCCTGCTCTTGACCTTTCTTCAGTTTCCTCTCTCCCTGATCGTCTTCTCTTGTCCCTATCTGTTATGTCCCTCATCTTCTCATTCTCTCCTTGTCGTTTTCTCTCCCTATCTCTATCTTTTCCTCCATCTCTTTCCCTTTCTACTTCCCTGCTCTTGTTGCTCTTCTCGTCTTCTCTCTCTGTACTTCGTCCAACCTCTCTCTCACCTTGAGCTCTTCTCACTCTCTTTGTCCGTGGTGAAGGAGACCTAGAACTACGACTTTGCCTGTGCCGCACCAAAGAATCTGAGGCCTCTGATGCAGTGTGACCCATTCTTAGAGACGGTTTCTTTTCTCTTCTCGTCTTCGCCTTGGAAATTACACAAATTGAGACAGCTTCAGGAAACACAAGCAATTTGACAGAAAAACCAAAGAAAAGGGAATGTCACTCTCTGGAATCCTAAACCTTAATTCTCGAGGCGTCACTAAGCCCTAAATCTACAGCAATTGAGTACCGATATCAGAAATTTCCGGCATAATTTAGGGTCGCAATAATCCCGAAGCAAAATACGTCGCTTAAGAGGAAGAGGGTCAAGTTCAATTACCTGGTTGCCGCCACTGCGATACTTCGGCGGGGAGCAAAGGAGAGAAGTCGAAAGAGAGATTAAAGGCAAGAGATAAAAGAAAAGAATGAAGAAAATCTGGGAAAACGAGGATTCATTATAATAAAGGGGTGTCGACTGCAAATGAATGAAACATTGGGGGTTCAATATGAAATCGTAGGTGGGGCCCTGTGAACATTAATGGAGTCAGAGTTCCGTTAGATCTTCCTTCACAACAATCTTATTATATAAAGCTGGATGAGCACGATATGGTTGCGACACATAGAATTTTTATAAAATATAAGATCGTGACATGTGTCACTTTTAAAATTATATCCGTTAAGATTGTGACATGTGTATTAGGAAAAAAAATGATTTTTAAAAAAAAATTAGAAAAAGGATAATTTAAAAAAAAACGAAATTTAATCTAAAATATTTTTAAAAAAAAGAAAAATTAATATTTGTCATATCCTAACAGAAAATGGTTTTTCCATTAATCAAATTTATATTATCCAAACACATATAAAAAAAGAAAAATTAATATTTATCATTCCAAATAGAAAAATGTTTCACATTCATCAAATTTATATTAACACATATTAAATTAAAAATAATGTGATAAAGAAAATCATATAGGATTTTTATAACTCATATAGGATCATGTGTTTTTTATAATTCGAAAAATATTTAGATCGTGAAATGTACCATGAAAAAATTTAACATGTATAAGAACAACAAAAAATAAGAAAAGGAAAAATAAAAAACATATTCTCATTAAGAAAAGGAAAAAAAAGAAGATCAGGAAAAAAAAAAAATTACATCCATTATGAAAAGGAAAAGTAAAACATATTCTCAATACGAAAAGGAAAAAACCCAATAATATTTAATACGAAAAGGAAAATTCCAAAAAAATGTTAATTAAAAAAAAAACGAAATTTTATTTAATCTATTATATCAAAAAAGAAAAAATAATATTTGTCATATCCAAACTGAAAAAGGTCTCCCATTCATCAATTTTTTTATTATATAATAGGTTACTTGAACCCCTATAAAAGAGAGTCAAGGTTTCTCAATCATAAATTCATCAAAGCAAATTCATCAAATCCCTTTGATTATATTTCTCCAACTAGGTGGTTGTCCCGCACCCTGTGCGGGTACAATACTTTTTAAATAAAAATAATTAAAAAATTAATAATATAAATAGTAGAATTTTTTATTATATACAATTTTTGTTTTTGCCAGTTTCTTATTTCTGTAATTTTGATATGTCTTATTTTTTCTTCTCTTTCTCGTTCTTCTATATAATTTTCTTCATTATTTAAGAAAGATACAAAAGATTTCTTACTTCTTATTTTGTTCTCTTTTATTCTTCTCTAATTATCTCACATTCTTATTTTTCTTTTAATTTTATATTCGTTCTCATCACCTTTTTATTTTTCTTCTTCCAATTTTTGTTCTTAATTGTTTTCTTATATCTTCCAACTCACTTTTCTTCTTTTTCTTTCTAATTTTATTTACATTCTTTTTTCGGTGTTTCTTCTTCCTCATATTATTCTAGTTTTTAGTTATCCGTTTTTTTTTCCTTTTTTTTCTTCACATATTATTTTTTATTCTTCGATTTCTTTTTCCTCATATTCGAGTTTTCTTCTTTTTCTCCATTCGTTTAAAGAGATACAAAAGATTTTCCACTTCTTATGTGTTCTCTTTTATTCTTCTCTAATGATCTCACTCTCTTCTTTTTCTTTCAATTTTATATTCGTTCTCATCATGTTTTTCTGTTTCTTCTTCCAATTTTTATTTTCAATATTTTCTTATATCTTCCAGCTCACTATTCCCTAAACCCTAAACCCACACCCACATTATTACAAATCACCCCCTCCCTCTAAACAACTTTACACCCTAAACTAACACCTACATTATACCCCCTCTTAACCACACACATGAACCCCACATTACAAACTGGTTTTGGATTTACTTTTATTTTCGTTTTCTTTTTTTGAAAAAGTTTTTCATTTTGTAATGGTTGTTTTCGTCTTCCTCTTATTCTTCTCTAGTGATCACATCTTCTTCTTTTTCTTCAATTTGTTTATTCCTTGTCATCATCTTTTTTTATTTCTAATTCTTCTTCTTTTTTCAATTTTTATTCTTCAGTCTTTTCTCGTTTCTTTACATCCTTTAATTCACTATTTTTCTTTTTATTTTTAATTTTCTTTATATTTATTTTCCGGTTTTCTTCTTCTTGATTCCGCCCATCTCTCTATCTTTATCATCTTCATCTTCTGTGGCATCATCTTATTCCAATTTTTATCTTTCGATTTTGTCAACTTATTCTTTGTTCACATATTCTTCAATTCTTTTTTTTTTGGTTTTGTGTCTATCATTTCCGTCTTCACCTTTTTCTTTTTGTCATCTTCCAAACTTTCTTCTTCTTCTACTCCCCCTACTCTAAATGTTATTCATATTTCTTCTTCGTATGGCTTTTTATTTATATTCTATTTCTTTATTTATATTTTTTTCTCCGACATTAATAACGATCTAATCTTGTCAAGAATCGTTTCTCATTTACAAATATAAAATAAAAAAACAGAATTTTTTGACAATCATCCAACAATCTACATATAGATTTTCAAGGTCCGATAAGTGAAAAGATCTCTTAAGTTTTTAAAAAACATATAGACTTTCAAGGATTATTTTCATATATATTTTTATTATTCCCAATTTTTTCATGATGTTTATGCTCCCTGATGGACAAAGCCATTTAAGTTAATTCAAAATAAATTTCTTGAAAGAACAATTTAAACTCCAACGATTTCATCTTCTTCGTCATTGTTCTTTCCTTCTGATTTTATTTGTCATCTTCTTTACCTTTCATTTTTTTATCATTTAAAAAAAGAAAATAATTTAACAAATAATGATTTCTCTCATTAAAATATTCCATATGTGTTATTCATATTTCTTCTTCGTATGGCTTTTTATTTATATTCTATTTCTTTATTTATATTTTTTTCTCCGACATTAATAACGATCTAATCTTGTCAAGAATCGTTTCTCATTTACAAATATAAAATAAAAAAACAGAATTTTTTGACAATCATCCAACAATCTACATATAGATTTTCAAGGTCCGATAAGTGAAAAGATCTCTTAAGTTTTTAAAAAACATATAGACTTTCAAGGATTATTTTCATATATATTTTTATTATTCCCAATTTTTTCATGATGTTTATGCTCCCTGATGGACAAAGCCATTTAAGTTAATTCAAAATAAATTTCTTGAAAGAACAATTTAAACTCCAACGATTTCATCTTCTTCGTCATTGTTCTTTCCTTCTGATTTTATTTGTCATCTTCTTTACCTTTCATTTTTTTATCATTTAAAAAAAGAAAATAATTTAACAAATAATGATTTCTCTCATTAAAATATTCCATATGTGTTAGATCAAAGACGAAAATATTCCTCTCTTTCTGAATTTTGTTTTCATTACCTTTCAAATTCAATATCTGATGTTTTTTCATTACTTTTCATATTACATTTATTTATCAGATTCAAATAAAATATTAAATAATTTAGTTATTTTTCTATGTCTTTTTTCGTAAATGTGTTCATGAACTATTTTTTTTTATGCACACAAAACTAAACCCTACACCCACCAATATTAACTCTATATTTTAAACCCTAACCCTACAATAACCCTCCCCTTCCCTCTCCATCAACACTACACCATAACCAATACTCGGATCATTTTGAATTGTCTAATAATTTTCAGAACCGTTAACACATTTGCTCAGTCTGAGGCCTCTATCCATCTTTAATCCGGATATTGTATGCCTTCAGATTTTCTACCTTAACCATATCCAGCTCCAGAAAATTATAGCACTCTATCATCAAACTAAAAGTAGGCTAAACAATCTTAAATGTTAATCATATAGTTCATTACTCTATCTGATCAGGGGAGAAGCTACACGATCCCTTGTCTTCTCTTCGCGTCCAACTGCTTTAAAACTTCCTATCTCATCGAGCATTGAACGAATTCAGTCTTGCGACACCGACAATGCACATCTAAATGATATGTCTTTCCTTAATCAGTCAACAGACTAGCACTATGAGAGAACCACAAGCTCACATCCGAACCCAAGAAGGACAACACGGTGGATATTAAAAGCAAGAACATATTTTGGAGGCAAAATCACATATATAATGAATCAACAGTTACCCACAAAAGCTTAGGCCTTAAGAAACAATTTCCACAAGCTCACAAATCAATTATGTAAACGGCATTCGTAAACCAGTCTCGCTTACCAGTGACAACGACATGTTCTACTCAACGCAACAACAGCTCAAAGGTGGAGGGAGGTAACTTGGATCACGATTCTCCTAATAATAACTTGGATGAAATTTTCCACCATTCACTCTCATGAAAAATAAGCGGAGACACGGCGACGATGAGCGTAAAAGAGGTCAGCTTCCACTCGACGACTTCACGAAAGACGGTGGTATCTAGGAGTAGATGGGCGACGGAAGACGGTGGCTTTGGTGATTGCACTTTCTCGGCTTCCTCAGGTACATTTCTCTTCTTTTTTGGTAAAAAAAATTAGAGAATTTTGTGTTCTTCTCTCAACCAAAAAAAAAACATGTGATCATTTTTATATACTCGTTACAACAGAAGCACCCGAGTCCTTCATGAGACGTAGACCGACGCTTTCCACATCACTGTCCCATAGCTGGACCTTT